GTCAAGTCTCCTTAACAATGGCAATCATTGGTTTCTTTACTGCATTTTCATTCACATTCTTACTTGTTTGTTTAAGCATTGCTTGTATATAGAAACTTGTCTATTTTTGAATGAAAATCTTAATGCAATAGGTATGCTTGTCTTGAAGTGTTCCTTTCATTTTTATTCATCCATTCGCTGTCACTCTTTAAATGTTTTACTTGCATATTGATGCCAAGTTTCCAAGTCTTATGCTTAGGTAAAGATTGGAGGGAGGATGACGATAATCTAAAAACACAAAATATCTGATTGGTACGCTTTTGAGTAAGACTCTGTTGACGACGTACATGCCTTATTTCAATTCTTAAAAACCAGAGATATAAGGGAGATAGACCCTCGTCGACCCCCCCGAGCCTTCAAAGTAGGAGTTTCTTTTCTGTTCAGAAAAAAAACCTCGTTTTAACCCTGGGGCGGGTAGTGTTCAGTTAATCTGATCAAGCATTCAGAACTTATCAAGAGTGTGCATCCAAGGATACAACAATGGTTATCCATTAAAAGGTTGAGGAAATTCAAAACCACAATGGTTAACCCTCATCTAACAACAACGTGCGTCTATTGACAATATCCCAATGAGTATCTCTCGCACATCAAGAGGTTGATAGATGACGATACAATAATGGCTATCCATCATATACCAAAGAATTGGACAGTCACAATCATTTCCAACAAATCAAAGACAACACAAGGATCAACGACTTGTTCAAAATGGAAATACAAATAAGAAACAAAAATCCCTGCTAAGTCAAAACTTGAAAACAAGTCGCTTAGGCAAAAGTTGGGAGGCATCCCGCTGGACTTCCAAATCGAAATTCAAAAGAATATGTCTAGGAAAAAGAAATAAGGGAATTGAAAAGCATAAAAGGCGAGAAAAGGATTACCAATGAAAATCCTCACCAAAGAACAAAGTCGTCTGATCAGACACCAAGATCAGAAGGTGAAGTAATTATCGTGTCCAAGAAACCACAATGATTCCTCAATCATCGCAAACTCTTCTCGAGAGATGAACTCTTGTATCGGGTCAACTGAATGTAGGAATGGAGAACATCATGTAGAATGGGTGGGCACCAAATAATTTTGAGCCTCAAATCCTTTTTAAAAAAAAAACGTGAACCAGGACACGTTACAACCCTTTAAAAGTCCTAATTGAAGCACGGGCCAATTCGAAAGCATCCTACAACGAGATAGCGTTTAACTGACTCCTAAGAGGTATGTTTGAATATTTGTGTTGGCATCATATGCTTGCATTATATTTCATAAAAAAAGAATTCGCAAATGTTTCTCTCTAGCTAGTGACTCGTTCACAACAAAGTTGGGACGTCATTTCATTCAAAGTTTTTTCGAACTTCAAGACTTACATATGTGTTCCATTAGAATTATCATTCTCATAATAAACATTATTCTGCATACAAAACAACTGATTGACATCAAGTAAGTTTACACAATGAACAATCCATAAAGAGCTCAATCTTGTCAGAGAAGAGAGACTTGAATACCCTGTTGAAGCAAGAGTCAGTTGCCACAAGAGAAATGACTTATCCAGCAACACGTAAACCAGTGATTATGTTAAGAGGAATCATCTTGGTACTTCATAGTCTGAGTACCATCCAAGGATGAAGTTAGTAGAGTCTGCCAATCTGGGGCAATCAAGTCGAGAGTTGATCTCTCCGAGTTCATCCAAATCTGGGGCATTCCCTTAAAGCTACCAATCTGAGGCTCAAGTCGAGATTCAATCTCTCCAAGGTCAGCCAAATCTGGGGCATTCTCTCCAAGCTATCAATTAGAGGCTATCACGTTGATAAATCTCTTCAAGCTTGACCAATCAGAAGCTATCACGTTGATAAATCTCTTGAAGCTCGATCAATCAGAGGCTATTCACATCGAGATTAGATAAATCTCTCCAAGAAAGTTGTAATCAAGAGCAGTTTATTTCGTGACTCAAGACATTGGGGAAGGCCATTTCATATCATATTGTGGCACTAATATTCTGGTCTTCTATTCAACATAAATCTTCTCAGAGATCCTCTAGACAGGGGCATTTGAAACAACCGGCTGAAAATCATCAAACATTGAAGTCGCCATCGATTGTCTTTTATCCCACATGTAGGGAAAGGTAAACATCGAGAAAACCTGAGAAGGGAGAAGTCACGGTCTTGCGACTGAGAGATAAGGGTAAGGGAGTCTGTTACACAAGGGGAAGGTATTAGCACCCCACACGCCCTTAGTACTCTACGGTATCCACTCTTGTCGTCTATCTTATGGGTGTGTTTAATCCATGCTTATTGTTTATTATACTACTGAAGGGAGAATGCATGTAAAAAGAAATAGAAAATAATGTAGGGAAAATAAAAGTTGTGCTCATTCGGGCCCTACCCCAATGCCTACGTATCCCTTTTAAGGAATCAGAGCAGCTGTAGTTCAGCTAACATGCTTTTGTTGGTTTTTATTTTTTAACGAACAATATTAATTTTGCCTTTTGCCGCAACTCGACCTTTGGAGACTTACGCGTCAGCAAAAAAGTGAGTTAACATGTTCTTTCTGAAAAAAAGTTTTGGAGAAAAGATGCTTGGGCGCACAAAAAGGTTTGAATTGGTTTGTGTTTTTTTTAATGAACAATATTAATTTCGCCTTCTGCCGCAACTTGACCTTCGGAGACTTACGCGTCAGCATAGAAGTGAATTAACTTGTTCTTTTGACAAAGAGTTTGAAAGAAAATCCCATAGGCCAAAGGAGTTTGTGTTTGTTGGTGTTTTTGCTTGTAGATAATAGCTAATTAAGCTCAAGAGAGAGATTTTAGCCATTTCTCTACTTATTCATGAAATAAGTCTTTGAGACTAGAACCATACCAAAGCTTATAATAAGAGAATAATAAGGTCGAGAAGAAACCCGCTTATCATCTCTTATACTTAACAAAGATATGATTCTTGTCAGTAAAATTTTCAAGTATTTTGAAGTTTGTAAAAAAAAAGTTTTTTATTTTAATGCAAATGAAAAAGGGAAAAGAAACGTCTAAGGGGTGACAAACCTAAATCTATCCCTAATGTTATCATAAAATTGTGTTCCTATGATTAAGTTTTGAAGGGAAATCTCTACCCTAAGTTGGCATATTTAATTCAATTTCAATTGATGGATTAAAATTAGACTAAAATCCTAAAGGAGCGTAGCAAATATAAAGATAAGAACAAGATCACCCATAATACGCATCAAGACAATTCCAAAGGTTGCAAAAGAATATACAATGTAAAAATGAATTAAAATTAGCGATTAAAATCCCCTAAAAAATAGTAAGAGGGAGAAAATAAATTCCTATTTAGATCCTAAATTCTAGCATATATTTTTATTGTCCCATTTGACCATTTTATTTATGTATTTTTGTTATTAAAAGAAAATGAGGACAAAAAACTAAAAAGAAAATTCATAAAGAGAAAACAAAAAAAATAGGGATGGTAAATCTGAATCCTGGGGGTATTATTCACAATCAGACACCAAGGCCCAACTATCACAGCCCAAGAGACACATCTTATTTTGGGACAAAAAACAAAAAAAAACTTTAATATGCTAAAAACGGGGTATGGGCCTGATGTGCAATAACCTGCTATTGGGCTTTATGACAGAGCAGTAATCCATGGTCCAGCGAAGTGAGGATACTTGCCCAATTCCATCATCCTCCCTCATCTCTCTCGTGCCCTAAATCTAAGACCAACACCGCCTGTAATCGTCTTTGGTCGGCGCTCCTTCGTGAAGAAAAGGACGGTGCTAACATTTCTATATCCCTCCCTTCTCCCTAAACTCACACCCCAACCTCGCCTTTCCTGCCTCTAAGAAAAAAAACATTGCCTTACCGTATATATTCAAAACCATAAGTGACGAACAAAGACAAAATTAACCAAAAATCCTATTGAATTTAAAGTGATAATAACAAGGTAATCGTTCAGTATGCGTCAAGCTTTCCAACGGCATCAAGAAATGGTAAAACGATGAAGAAATAGAGGAGATTGAGGCTTACCTGCCGGAGACACTCCGACAGTGTTTAGACGCGGTGAAGGCGATAAGAAGACCAAAGAATGATTTTCAGAAGTGCAGGTATGCGTCTTTTACTCAATTCTTTGCTTTCCAATCCTTTCTCAATCTTCTTCCAATTCGATTCTTTTTGTTACATATTCTTGTTCTTCCTTTTCTGATAGGAGCGAATAAATGAAATATTGAGAACAACAATATTGCAGAGAACGCGCATGATTGGTATGAAGTGTTGATGTGCGGTAAGAGTGGGCTGAGGTGCTGCAATGGTTGAAAGATAGTTGAGGAATGAAGATTGCAGAATGAGGGAGGAATGTTGCAGAATTGAGAAAGAAGATGAAGGTGGAGTGGAAGTGAAATCGAGCGCTCCTCTGCTGAATCCGATAAAGGGTATTATATAGGGATGATGAAGAAGAAGTTAGTTACAACTGAAAGTCCTTAGGCCATGGGATCAAAGGGAATTGGTTAACAGATGAAGGGCGGAGATTGAAGGTGGAAGCTAGTTAGAACTTGGCTAACCATTTTTTTCTGTTCTGGTTAGTTTCTATTGCAGCTGATTTGAAACTGAATTAGTTAGAATCTGTTATGAATTGGTTAGAAGGTCAGGGAGTTAGTTAGGAGACTAGAAGGAGTTGGTTAAATTCTGTTAATTTGTTTTTGGAATTCAGAAGCTAGCTAGAAATTATTATATGGTTGGTTGGAAATCCGTTAGAGGGTTTTAGAGGAAGTTGAAAGATGCTTTGACAGTTATGGGTTAGGAAATCCTGTTGGGAGTTGGTTTGTTAACAGTTACAGGTGAGCTTTTTTTTATTTAGAAGTTTGTTCGAAAGAATCTGTTAGATGCAGGGTAGTTTAACTCTGTTTGGATTTCTGTTAAAACAGTTAAAGTTTGTTAGAGTTAATTATTTTTCTTTTAGTTTCTTTTTTCTGTTGTTTGTTTGGACAATTTAGCCAGTAGTGCCCATGGTAGATGAAGAGGAGTATTGCACTTCATCATCAGTAGATCGAGTTCCCTCTTCTGGCATCTGTGAAATACTTTCAGAAACTTGAGGTTGTTCTAAGATTTAAGAAACTTGATGTTATTCTATGATTTCTGCAATGCTATATCTTTCTACCAGTTCTTTCACTAGTTCTCCATGTTCATCAAGCTGGTGTCGGCGCAAGTAAGACTTCAGCTCATCTTGTAATTTCTTGAAGGGCTCACATCCTGCCTCCAAAGCTAATTTGAAGAAACCAAGTGAAATGCGGTGCTTAGTAGCACTTTCAGACAACTTAATTTGGTTCAACCAATATGAAGCAGAAGACAAGAGACTAAACTTCCGAGCAGTTGATCTAAAAATGTCAGAAACAGGCGTTTGGACTCTGGTTTGAGGCCCTTGGCTATTCCCAGACCTCCTTAATCTTGTCTCTGAGATTGGGGTTAGGTTGCCAACCGCCTTTGGACTTGGAGTGGGAGATGCTTTGACAGGATTGGAGAGCCTTCTTGGCGTATTAACATTTGAAGATTTTCCCTTAGCAGAGAAATCAAGAACTCCCACACTTTTGCTTACATTGGGAGTGTTTCTTCCTCTCTTAGATTCAGAAGGATTGGTGCTATTAGATGCATCTGGCTTCGGTTCCTTGGATTTATTCGACGAACGCAGCAGATATCTCAGAAGCTTAGATTTGGATGCAGCTTTCCCAGAAACTTCAACTGATGATTGTTCGTTGATAACTTCTTCCATAATTATTTTTCTTGTTTCTTGTGAATTAGAGAAACCAGAGTTGGTTTTTGTGTGAGAAGTAGATAGTGATTCTGTTAGGCAAATAGGCTTCTTCTGTTTGTACAGTTAAGAGATTTTGAGTTGGCATTATTTTCAAAACATGGAGATACTGACTCAGTTTTTTCATGTGCTGGTCTTGATTTCAGAAAATTTTGTTATGGTTTCTTTTTAAGAATGCATGTAAGCCATTTAATTTTTCGACTTTCATGTATTTCAGTATTCAACATCATCCTTCTGGTGCCACCCTCTCAGCTGCTCGAGTTTGATGACATTGAAAACCGCTAAAGTGAGATTAGTTGTTAAATCACAGTGAGATAGAATGTAGGTTCTTGGAATAACACTTGCATGTCTGTTTATCTGATCTTCCAATAGAACAACCTTCAGCTTTGAAGCTTCAAACTTTGTTGGAGGACCCGATAGCCTAACCGTATCAAAAACAATGGAATTGCAGTAAGGTGTGGAATTAGTAGTAATGGAGGAGCATCTGAAAGATGGCTTTGACATGATAGGGAAAAGCTTTGTAGATGAAAATGAAAAGGCATTATGACATAATGATGCCATTGAAGATGCATAATAATAGAGTCCTCTTCATCTTTCAAATGCCACCACCATTATCTTCTTTCCTTTTTTTGTGACATGAAGCGCATCAAATAGTAAAGTCGTTGTGGTGAAAGTAAGTTAAAGCCAATATTACAAAACAAACTCCATATCGCCAAAACCTTAAAGTAAATCCATGTTGAAGTCTGCAAGTGTGATCGTGCATGTGAAGCGTACGAACTCCGATTGAATCGCCATGAAACCCTCGAAAGTTGAACGAGATTGATTTAGCTTTTTGTTAGATGATGTAATCGTGTATGCGAATATAACTTGCAACGCGATTTGAGCAAGCAACTGAGTTGCATTTATGTCATGATTTAAACAAAGATTTTGAGTTTTTGGTTATTAATATGCAGGGCTGCCAATACTCATGCGCGGATTCTGGAGCTGATATTTACTTTTGGTTTTCCTGAGTTGGTTGGTTGAACTGGGTTTATTAGTGCAGGTTGAAACTCGGAGCGTGAAGATTGAAGAATACATGAAGATGGAGAATTAATGTTAGGGATAAGCATAGCACGATGGTGAAGGATAGCCAAAAGATTGGCATGGAGATTGGAATACAAAATTCGTATGAAGAAGGATTTGGAGATTGGGTTTAAGTTTTTTTTATAAATAATTTTTCATGTAATATTTTTTAATGTAGTTTTTTATGGTTTTGTAATGGTGTTTTGAATTTAATTATATAGAATTTGAAATTGAAATGACTTATGGTGAACTTGTAATGAATGAACTTATTGGAATTTTTGTTGAATGTGGAATGAAGAGGTTTTGAAATGGTGAATGGAACTTGAATATTATAGTGTGAACTGTAAATGGCTTTGCGCTTGTAAATTCTCTTGAAACCAAGGTAATGCAGTATGATCTTGCATACCAATGTAACTTTGGGACCTCTTGAATCCAAATGCCAAATTATCAAGGGTGCAAACTACTTTCTCTTCATTTGATTTTGAGTTTCCCGAGAAAGAAGTGTCTTCCTTTCTTTTTGAATTTGATATCCCAAGTCCTTCATTGACCTTATATTTGTGAAATCCCAATGTCTCGCATTCTATCAATTTGGATGAACTCCCTTGCTTGAATATCTTCGAATGAACGAATATAGGTTTCCTTAAACCAACTTGAATGAGTCCATGTTTAAACGTCTACATGTCCTTAACTCAAAACCCCAATCTTCCATACAAAGCTTTTTAGATTTTGATCTTAAAGCATTGAAATAAAATATGAAGAAAATAGATTGTACTTCAAGTAAGCCAATCGGCCAGATGAAGAGGTTTGCATTATAAGGCATACAAACCCTAATTCGTGAAGAAGCTCCAACTGAATCTTCTTCTCTAGAATAGAACTGCTTCCATTATGTAACTAGAGATTCAAACAATGCTTTCCTTCTCATTTTCCAAAGATATATCAATTGAAACCCTGGTTATTCATGTATAATATCCCTTAATTATAGCCTTGCCTGATAATCACAACTTCCCAGAGAAACCTCTCTTGAATGGTACATGATTTAGAGAAATAAACCCTAATCAAAGGATGACGTTGAGCACAAGGAGATAATGAATTCCTGATTTAGTATCCGTTAGATGACCTCGTAGAATAACTTGGAACATGAACAAGGGAATACAGAAAGAAACATGACCAAGATGGCCATGACTTAAGAAACCTAATGAACCTCGGTTGATGAAATGCTGACAAGCACAAACTTGGTGGAGAAAAACTCTGCCTCTTGTCTTGAATGCATCTGAATGAGTAATAACCCCCTTAACTTGAAGAGAACAGAACCCTCAATAAGCATAGGTTGCAATCCTAATTCCACATTTCACTGCTTAAAGGATAATCAGAAGAATCAGGCTTTATTGGATACAAACACCTTAACCGTTGTGAAACCCTAATATCGCACAACCACTAAACTTTGAACCTCAAGCTCTTCTGAATTCAAATGTATGTTAATGACCTAATGGAATATATACAGATGAATGCAAGAGTATAAGCCAGATAGAAGAAATTAGGAAGGAAAATTTTGGGGTGCAACAACTGCCCCTATTTAATCGCCTTCAACCTGAAGGTGAGATTGGCGTTAGCCTTTCGAACTTTCAGGGTGGAAGAAGATTAAATACTTAAAGAACCCGAAAATTTTCACTCCGAAGCCAGTCGGGAATACATTATATTTTTGGTTTTTCTGTATTTATTTTCTATTTTCTTTTTGATTTTTGGGTTGAAGGGGTTGTCAGGGGTAAATGTATGTTCAACCCGAGTTTGACACACAGAAGAATAACTTGGTTATCGAGGAACATTTGTTGGGATTTAGTAACAAACACCTGTAAGAAAGATATCAAAAGATACATGCCTGAAGTCATTAGCAGACATACGAAAGAGGTATCAAAGATACATATCCGGGGTCGGTAGTGGATACGCACGAAAGAGACATCAAAGATATCGAGAACACATGTCTGAGGTTGGTAGCAGACATATGAAACAAGTATCAAAAATACATATCCGGGGTCGGTATCGGATGCGCACAAAAGAGATATCAAGAACACATGTCTGAGGTTGGTAGCATACATATGAAACAGGTATCAAAAATACATATCTGGGGTCGGTAGCGGATACGAAAGATACAAACCGAAGAAAGCTTCTTACAAGGATATCAAGAATACATGTCTGGGGTTAGTAGCAGACATATGAAAAAGGTATCAAAAATACATATTCGGGGTTGGTAGCAGATACGCACGAAAGAGACAAACTGAAGAAAGCTTCTTACAAGGATATCAAGAACACATGTTTGAGGTTGGTAGCAGACATATGAAAAAGGTATCAAAAATACATATCCGGGGTCGGTATCGGATACGCACGAAAGAGATATCAAGAACACATGTCTGGGATTGGTAGCAGACATATGAAACAGGTATCAAAAATACATATCCGTGGTCGGTATCAGATACGCACGAAAGAGACAGAACGAAGAAAACTCTTACAAAGATATCAAGAACACATGTCTGGGGTTGGTAGCAGACATATGAAAAAGGTATCAAAAATACATATCTGGGGTCGGTATCAGATACGCACGAAATAGATATCAAGAACACATGTCTGGGATTGGTAGCAGACATATGAAAAAGGTATAAAAAATACATATCCGGGGTTGGTAGCGGATACGCACGAAAGAGACAAACCGAAGAAAGTTTCTTACAAGGATATCAAGAACACATGTTTGAGGTTGGTAGCAGATATATGAAAAAGGTATCAAAAATACATATCTGGGGTCGGTATCGGATACGCATAAAAGAGATATCAAAGATACATATCCGGGGTCGGTATCAGATACACACAAAAGAGATATCAAAGATACATATCTGGGGTCGGTATCAGATACACACAAAAGAGATATCAAAGATACATATCCGGGATCGGTAGCAGATACATAATAAGAAAAGAGGTCGGAGGAAAGGACTCTAACCAAGGATATCAAGAAATATACGTCCGGAGGAAAGGGCGTATAACCAAAAATATTGGGAAAATATGTCAGGAGGAAAGGACATATATAACCAAAGGCTTACAAGGGTAAGAGAGAATCACGACTTACTAAGACAATGGGAAACACCAAAGACTCGACTGGTGGTAGATCAAACAGACTCCGCTAGGGAAATAAAATAGAATCACCCTAGGCTTTTTGTGGAGATAATTCAAATCTGAATACATAACAATCTTGTTACTGCAAGTAAACATAATTGGCTTATACTTATGCATGTTTGAATTTTTATAGCGTAATTCCCCATACAATGGGAATGCTACGCATTTTGGTAGATGCAATGTAATGATGCATGTTTAGTAATGCACTAGGAAAACACATCAATGATCGGCTGATGAGAAGACAAAGAACTTCCGAACGATTATTCTTGCACATCTGATCTTCTGTAGAGAAAAGGCAATTTGTACTTCAATGGGGAACCAGGATTTGGAACCACCAGCCTCCAAAGATCGATATCACTGGGGAAGTAACTTCCTGGGAAGAATACTGCAAACATAAATTGCAGTTCAGAGAAAATCTTGAATTCTGATCAAACTCCCCCCTTCACGTGGAACAAATTCTTTATCCTTTGTTGGAAAGAGGAAAGCTTTGCTGGGAATGGAAACTTCTGGAATATAAATTTTTGACGAAGATAACTTCTGTTGGGGGAGTATAGAAATTCTTAAATAAAAAGAATTCTACTCAGACCACATTGGGGATAACATCACTGGGATGTAAAAGATCCTCACTCGGGGAAGAAACGAACATCCCGGGATAGAAAATCCACTAGGGATATCTCAATAAAATCTTCTATCACCGGTAATGAAAGAGTTATGACTGGCACTCCCATGCACACCACAAT